TTTCTATTTATCTTTGTAGAAGGAGTTTTGGATATCTGTTTCAATGCATGCATGTTTAGGGTTATTATGGTTTTGTTTTTTTTTTATTTTTATTTTTTGGTTTTTTTTTTGGTGAATTAACTCTTTTATCATGCAACGTCTGCCTTGATTTCTGTTAACAGTTCTTGTTCTGAAGTCTACTTTGTCTGATATTAAGAGAGCTGCTCCAGCTTTCATTTGATTCATTTTTATGTGATATATCTTTTTTTCCTCCTTTTATTTTGAATCAGTCATTGTCATTTAAAGTGGGTTTCTTGTAGACAGCCCATAGTAAGGTCTTTCTATTGTTGGCATTCCCATCTGACAGCCTCTGTCTTTCAGCTGGTGTGTCTTGGAACATTTTATTTTAATGTAATTGTTGACATGGTTGGATATAGGTCTACGATTTTTGTCTCTCCCTGCTTTTGTTTCTCGTTTCCATCTTTCCTGCCATGTTTTAGATTATTTGATTTTTTTTTTATTCCATTTTAATTTGTCTGTTGGATAAAGAATGTTATTTATGGTATTGTTTTTTTTGTTTGTTTGTTTGTTTTTTTTTTTTTTAGTATTCCATTTTAATTTGTCTGTTGGATAAATAATGTTATTTATGGTAATTTTTTTCCTGATCCAGGATCAGAAATCATGCATTGCATCGGTGGTCATGTCCTTACTTTCGAGCACTGTCTTAACATTGTGTTTTAACTGCTGACGTTTTTTGGGGTGGGGACCCTCTTGGGAGACTCTCTTTGTCTCTCACCCTGTAGACTTTCCTCCTCAATACTCCAATGAAAACCTCTTTTGCTGAAGCTACCGATGACTTCAGTGTTGCCCAGTCCAATGGATATTGCTTTGTCTTCTGTTTTAATTTCTTAGCATATTCGATTCGTCTCTTCTTGAAATACTCTCTCTGCTTGGCCTCTGAGACAGGACTCCCTCCGGTTTCTCTCCCGCCTCCTTGGCCCCTCCTCATCCTCTTCACTGGTTCCTTCTGAGGGCATTGGCGAACGCTTGGGCGTCGGTCTGTATCTACACTGAGTCCCTTTATGAGCTCATCCACCTCCGTAACTTGCAATTCCATCCATTCAGTGACTCCCGGTTATATGTCCAGCTCCGACATCTGTCACCTCTGCCTCCAGACACCTGCGTGTGTGTCTAATATGAATCTCAGACTTTCATCATGTCCAAAATAAAATCACTGATTTCCTCCCTACTCCAAACCTGTCCTATTTTCTTTTCCATCTCAGTAAATGGATATTCCATTCTTCCAACTTTTCAGGCCAGAAACCTTGGTGTCTTCTGTCATTCTGCTCTTTGTCCCACATTTCAATGTATCGGTCTTTCTTAAATATATCTGGAATCCGACCACTTCTCACTTTTTTGACTGCTGCCCGCTTAGTGCAGGCCGTCATCACCTGTCACGTTGTTTCTATCTCTGCTTCTACTCTTGTGCTCTATAGTTCATCCTTCATATCGGCCCAAATGATCCTTTTACAGTTCAAGTCAGATCATGTCATTCCTCTGTTCAAACCCCAGTGTCTCCCCGCTTCCCCAAGCACAACACAAAGGTCTGTGAGACCCATCCACAATCTTCAACACCCTTCTCCTTGCCCATCGTGTCCTGCTATACTGGCCTCCTGGCTGTCCCTAGAACACATCTAGCCATTTCTTCCTCAGGGCTTTGCACTTGCTATTCCTTTGCTTGAAATGCTTTTCCAGGTACTCACGCCTTATTCTGTCATTTCATTCAGTTTCTGCTCAAATGTCATCTTATAGAGGCCTTTTCTGACTGCCCTATTTAAAATAGCATCGTGCCTCTCTGTCTCTTATGCTCCCTGTCCCTTTTAACAGATTTAATTTTTCTTCAGTGTGCTAATCCCCCAGCAGAATACAATCGATCTGGTGCTTACTGACAGTCTTTTTCAGTAGATTGTAAGCCTCAGGAGGCCAGGAACTGTGTCAGTCTAAATAGTACATGGTGGGTGCTGAGTAGAAATTTGGAGAATAGATGACTCAGTAAAAATGCTTTTGAATATGTAGGTTTTATCTCTGTTCTTGGAGCTGGCTCCTTGGGACCATCCACACTTTCTTCTTACAGTCATGATTTAGGGGAGGGATGGCCCCTAGCTTCCTACCCTCATGCTCCCAGGTGGTCAGTGAGTCCACTAGCCTGGAGTCCCCCCTCATTGGGCATTTTGATTGACAGCCACAGTGAACATCGCCCTGCTGGCGTTTCCTGCAGTTCCAAATGCCAGGGCTGGGGAAGCATTTATCAGTCACCCGCCCTTGTGTGGGGAGGTCGGCGGCAGAGCCCGCTTCCCAGAATGTCATCCAGGTGCCTGGGTCTCTCTCACTGGATGACTCAGTGTGCGGAATCCATCGCTCAGCCCGTCAGTGGATGAGGGAGGGGAGTTGGGCTCCATCTCTCTCCTCTAGTCCCATCTGATGTCAGAGCTAATTCAAGGTAGTGACGCCTAATCACTGCCCCACGGCTGGTGACGGAGGGGAGCACTGGCCAGGAAGTGGCTGTCATGCTCCACAGTGACAGACAGATGCATCTGCTGCCCAGAAACTGAGGCAGAGCGGGTAGCTGGCAGAGTGACAGCCCTGGAACACAGCCTTCGGGCCAAATGGCCTCCCCGAATGTCTCTCTCACACAAGACACCCACGTACATCCCAGGCACCGAGTGTGCTGTCTGTATGGCAGTTTATACTCTGCAAGGTGATTTCAGAAGCCTCTCATTTGTCCCCACATGTCTTGGGTTTTTTGTTTGTTTTTTTTTTTTTGATTTTTTTTTTTCCTTAGAGTAAGTCAATCTTTTTAGTGTATAGTCGTGAGAGTTTTGACAAACTCTTCCAATTGTGTCTCCACGTCCACAAACAAGATACAGCAGAGTTCTAGCATCACCCACAAATTCTGCTAGGACCCCAGTGTCGAACCCCTCTCCACCTCCTGCTGCTGGCAGCCACTGATCTATCCTTATGGTTTTGCCTCTTCCGGAATGTCATATGAATAGAGTCGGGCAGTCTGTAGCCTTTTGAGTCTGGATCCTTCTGCTCAGTTTAATGCATCTGAGATTTACTCATGTTATTATTATACATTATCAGTTATTCGGTCTTTTTTTTTTATTGCTGATTATTATTCCATTGAATGGAGATTTGATTATTCATCCCCCAGTTGAAGGAGTTTTAGGTTGTTTCTAGTTTTTGGTGATGATGAATAGAACTACTATAAACATATGCACAAAGATTTTTGTGTGAACATAAGTTTTCGTTTTTCTTGGATAAGTACCTTGGAATGGGAAAATCTAGGTTGTATGGTAGGTGTACATTTACATTTCCAAGGTTGTATGGTAGGTGTACATTTACATTTCCAAGGAGCCGCCAGCTGTTTGCCAAGTGGCCGTGGCCTCGCGCAGCCCCACCGGCAGTGTGCGAACGTCCGGTTTGTCCACCTCCTCGCCCACACTTCGTACAATCAGCCTTTTACTCCAGCCGTCCGCTAGCTGTTTATTAGTGTCTCATTATGGTTCCAGTTTCCACTTTCCTAGTTGTCATTCATATATCTTCTCTGTCGATGTGTTTAAATCTTTCGCTCATTTAAAAAATGAAGTTGTTTTTCTTATTACTGGGTTTTGCAAGTTCTTTTTTTTTTTTTGGATACGAGGTCTGTATCGGATTTACGATTTGTGCATATTTTTTCCCAGTCTGTACCTCATCTTTGTATTCTCTTAGCCGTGTCTTTTGAGGAGCAAAGTTCTCAAATTTGACAAAGTCCAGTTTACCCGATTTTTTCTCTCATGGATCATGCTATGGATGTTATGGTTAAGAAAACGTTACCTTTTAGCATAATCACCATGATTATGTCCTAAGTTTTAAAGTTTTTGGTTTTACGTTTAGGTCTGTGGTCCATTCTGACTAAATTATTTTTAAGCCGTGAGGTATTCCGTGCCTTAAAGTTCTTTTTTTTTTGGCACATGGACATCCAGTTATTTCCCACCATTGGTTGTGAAGACTGTTCTTCCTCCATTTCATGGGTTTCAAACCTCGGCCAAGATCAGTTGACCTTCTTTTGCGTGGATCTATTTCTGGACTCTCCGTCCCGTTCCATAGATGCACACGGCTGTCCTTCCTCTAGGACCGCATTGTCTCGGCGACCGTCGTTTTACAGTCAGTCTGGAAATCAGATAGGGATTTATCCTCCCCACTTTACAGATGAGGAAACTGGCCACAGTCACGCTCAGATGACTCGCTTGCAGACTCTGTTGTGTTTCGTTGTCTGATGCTTAGAGTGTGGCCTTTGGGGTCTGGTTTGGATTGAACGCTCATCTATGCTTTTATTAGTTGCGTGGCCCTGGCAAAGAAACTTTAACCCCTCTCTGCCTCAGTTTCCCCATCTGTGAAGTGAGTGTAACGAGGGTGCCTGCTTTATAATTGTAATCAGGATGACGTGAGTGTCAGATCAGACCATCTGGAATTGCTGATATTTGGCCATTTTGGACCAACACGAGTAACGATGTTACACAGTGCTAGTACTATGAGGAATATGCAAAATAGTCCCGAAATGGTAGCTATAACTGTTGTCATCATTGTCACCGCTGTCATTGTCATTGTCACTATTACTGCTGCTCATGCTGCTGTTGAGACAACACTATTGCTGTTGAGGGTGGTGGCCCTTGAGGCTGATGGTTTATGTTTCATGTGCCCTCGAACCAGGCAGCCAGCTACCACCAAGTACTTCCTGGGTAGCACGCTTTTTGCCAAATCTGCAAAGTAATAGGGCCCGCCCTCTGCTTGTGTGGAGCCGACGTGCCCACAGCTGTCATGGACGTTGGACTCTGGACAGAGGGTGGGAAGCAGCAGTCTACGGTGGCCCAGATGGCTTCACAGATAACCCTCATCCTTTCCTTGCACAGGTGGCCTTCGTTCGCCAAACACCCTTGAGGAGCCGAGTTTGGAAGACCCCTCCCACCTCTGCCCCAGCCATGGACGCGAGAACCATCGTCATCGACCACGGGTCCGGCTTTGTGAAGGCGGGCTTGTCCGGCTGGAACGAGCCGCAGATGGTCTTCCCGAGCATCGTGAACTACAGCCCGTGCAGGGAGAATCCTGGCCCCAGCTACGCTCGCCGACGCCTGAGTCTCGGCATCGACGTTTTCCATCCCGACACCTTTAGCTACCCCATCCAGCGTGGCCGCGTCCTCAACTGGGAGGGCGTGGAGTACATCTGGTCCTTTGTCCTGGAGAAAAGCAGACGGGAGCATGAGAGCTCCCCTGTACTGGTCACAGAGTCGCCCCTGAGGGAGCCTGCGGACCGCAAGAAGACCCTGGAGGTAAGGCTTTTTCAGGGCTGCCCTCGCCAAGGACCGGGGGACCAGCTGGCACTTTGTCTGGACACAACCGGGACATCAGGAAGTCTGTTTTCTTAATCACATGCCCCACAAATGTCTCCTGAGTATCTCGTGTGTGCCGGCACCGTGCCGGGCAAAGGGGGGCTCACAGAGGCTCCTCCCGCCCGTGGAGACACAGCAGGGCAAGTGCTCTGTGGGAAGGGCCATACCGGGTGACACCTGACATTCAGTCATGGATTCCGTAAATGTTCACAGATCAGATTCTGGTCCTCGAAGAGCTTCCCTTCCGAGGGAAGAGTTGACCATGAATCAGTTACAAAAAAGAATTCCAGACAGTGATCAGTTCAAGAAACAAAATGAAGTGGGGTGATAGCTGACTATTGCGGATAGGGGGAGCCGCTTTGAAGAAGGTAACCAGGGAGGGCTTCTCTGAGGAGGAGATTTCAGCCACTGAGGCTGGAGCACAGCCAGCTGGGAGGGAGGCAAGAAAGAGACAGGAGTAAGGTCAGCAGGGGCTGGACCTGGCAGGCTAGGCAGGCTATGAGAAGCACTTGGATTTTACTCGAAGTCAGGGATTGGCAAACAACAGCCAGTGGGCCAAATCTGGCTCAACATCTGTTTTTATAAATAAAGTTTTATTGGAACACAGCCATACCCACTCATTTACATGTCATCTATGGCTGCTTTTACACAACAGCAGAGTTGATTAGTTGCGCCAGAGACTGTAGAGCCCATAAAGCCTAAAATATTTACTGTTATAGGTTTTCTAGGTAAACTACATGATGCCTAGTTAGATCGGAATTGCAGATAAATGATGAATAACGTTTTAATATAAGTATGTCCTGAATATTGAATAGGACATACTTATACTCAATCATTATTTGTTATCTATGTGAAATTCAAATTTAATTGGGCATCC